GCCATCCCCTGTCACCATCCCACATCCACTCCTTTGTCCTTCTTCTAAGTCCCCCTCCCGTCCCTCCCTGTGTTGTTCCTGCGGTGCGAGGTCGCGCCTTCCAGGAGGGGGGCGAACTGTCACACCCCTTTGAACTTTTGTTGTGTTTTTATTCCTCATGTATTCTGTGACCCAGTTTTCTCTCATGTTTGATTGTGTAATTTAGTTCAGGTGTCTGTTTAATTATCCTCATTTGCTCCACTATATTAGTTGTGTTCTGTTCTCTGTTCGTCAACCGGTCGACTAAGTCCCTACATGTTCCTCCTGCCTGTCCGTCCTGTGTTTGCCCTATTTGGAATATTAAAGACTATTTGCATCTCACCGTAGCGTGACAACTACTTGTCGCAGGTTTTTTTTTTAATCTATCAATTATTAAAGTGAAAAGTAAAGTATTTCATATTCATATTAACGCTAGTTTATTCCACTAATATAGGCCTACTTCATTTTTATAATTTTTTTTTCATGCACAAGTGCTGCATGTGCGTGAATGATGTGTGAATCCTATGCTTTGTGCATGTAGGAAGCATCATTATGCATCGTAGGATCAATTAGGATCCAAATCCTATGATAGGATCAAAATAGCAGGATTAGAGCCTTCAGTGATGATTCCTCAGCATGACTTCCAATTTGAAAGGGAAACACTTTTCCTGTTTGAGGTTATGCTTTTTAAAAAAATGGTATGATTTAATGCACGTTTAAATTTATTTTTTTTTTGCTTATTACAGTTACTGATGCCTCATGTCCGTTTCACAATTGCAATCAATGCAAAGGCCCGTAAAATTCTCATCAGTCAAGACGGGATCTTCGTCAAGGTAGCTTTACACCTAATTTAATATATCCATGGATAAACAGCATCTAGATAGGAACCAAAGCAATTCTGTTTATATGTGACTGTTTACATACACACTTTTTTGCTTTAATCAGAATGAATTCATTAAGACTGATGAATCCAAAGGTAGTGTTTACATGAACATATAAATGAAGTGATCGGGTTGATGTGCGTGTTTGTCACGATTTTATTTGAATTTAATCATTTGACAAGCACACACTGCACGAATATCCGGAGTTTCCTGCTCTTTGTGCATCATAAACTTTCTTCTTAATTGCTTCTTTTTAAAGGCTTTTGTTTTAGACAGCAGACTTGAAGTGAAAATTAGAAAAGAAAATTTAAAATTAGCCCACGATTTACTCACCCTCAAGGCATCCTAAATGTATCTAACATTCTTCTTTCAGACAAATCCAATCAGAGTTATATAAAAAATTAACCTGGCTCTTCCAAGCTTTATAATGGCAGTGGGCGGGTGTTTCTATTCAACTGTACAAAAGAAGTGCAATTAAGTGCATCCATCCATAATAAAAAGTACCTTTTATTTTATTATTATGTATGTATTTGGGAGCAGTTGTGCTCTAATGGTTAGAGAGTTGGACTTGTAACCTGAAGGTTGCGGGTACGAGTCTCAGGTCCGTTTGGGGTGAAGTTGTGGTTTTTAATGAGAGACTTAATAACAGCCAGTTTAAGGTTTTAGGGACATATCCTAATGACAATGACGAATTAACAGTATTCAAGAGAGGATCTATGGCTTCTAGAAGCACCTCTTTTAGTAGCTTAGATGGAATAGGGTCTAACATATATGTTGTTGGTTTAGATGATTTAACATACATCTTTATACCATTTTTAATGTCATTGCAAATGCAAAGTTTCAGTTTTCAATCCATGAAGTGTCCTCTCGATCAGCTTATAAAGCAATAATCCACCCCTTCCAAACTTATTTAAATTTATTGTGGATCGAATAAGGCCAGTGTTGCCAGTGTTGTAGTTTTATTATTTGTATTTTTTTTTTTTCTTAATGACTATTTACTTGTCTTTAATAACGATTGAAATTTCTATGAGTTAGATGCTAGTTTTAGCTGTGGTGTCAGTTGGAATAAAGAATTTTAAAAATTTCATTGGTATCTAAAATTTTGGTGTTGTAACTTTATATACTGCAATACAAGGATAAATGTGTCAAAAACAATAAATATTTTATTCCTTACTGGTGTGGCCAGTTAAAATTACTTGTTGAATTAAATTTAAATTGAGAATCTAATTGAATTGTGTATCTAATCCAATTGAGATCTTGTGAATTGGAATTAAATCAAATCAGGACATCTGAATTGATACCCAAGCCTATGATTACCTAGTTCAGGTGTGGTTGATTGGGGTTGGAGCTGAACTCCAGGGCAGCAGCTCATGAGGAGCAGATTTGGAGGCTTATTTGGTTGCATGTAATCATAGCCACTGTATTTATTTAGCTGGTGTTTGCTCTAATACTGTATATTATGTAGTTCCTAAGTATCTGCAAACACAAAAACAGCCATTCACCATTAATCTTCTAGATAATCAGTTCAGTAGGCTAAATATGTGTTTATGGCCTAGTTGATTTCTGGAAATATTTTGGCAAAATTATAACTGAATTATCTGTTTCCAGATTAGTAGCCTAAGTGGAGATGCGATTGAAGAACTGATGAAAAGGGGCATGGATACTTTAACCTACAAGTCCCTGTGTTTCCCTGAGGCTATAAAAGCTAGAGGAATGGAAGATGCACCCAAGTACTATTATAGAGATGATGGCATGAAGATCTGGGAGACAATAAACCGGTAGGTGGTAGAGTAATAGCAGTTCAGGGGTGTGTTTCCCAAAAGCAACTATGGTCGCAATTTCTGTCATTACCAATAGAGTTCAGTGGAACTAACAACCATAGTTAGCTAACGATGCTTTTGGCAAACGCACCCCAGATTATTTGCTACTAGTACAAAAGTTAGCCCACATACACTCATACATATAACATAATGAATATGTTTGCAGTGGTGTAATGTAACGAAGTAATAATACTTTGTTACAGTTTTTAAGTATTTTTTGAGAGTATCTGTACTTATGTCAACTTTCACTACACTACATTAACTGATTAAAATGTATACTTTTACTCCAATACATTTCCTCGAAGCATATTCGTTACTTACTACAAAATAAAATCGGCACAGACGGCAAGAAAGCAGGTTTGACGAATCAGTGGTCTGGCATCTGCAAGTTAGACTCCTAAAAAACACCATTGCTCATGTGCAAACAAGTGCTCGCACAACCGCGGATGATTTAATTTTCAAGTCGAGGCTGGGGTGTGCGATATAGCTACATAATATCTTGTTCCCCTTTCGGGCTCTGTCTTTACATTTATTTTGAAAGATGAAGCTCGCGATTATGGTAAGGGGCGTTACATTTCCGACGGGTGCTTGCGGTGTTCGGCCAATCACAATGCACTGGGTCAGCTGGCCAATCAGAGCAGACTGCGCTTGTCGGAAGGAGGGACTTTGTAGAAAACGAAGCGTTTGAGAGAGGCGGGGCATAGAGGACCTACAATAATGTACAGTATTTGAAAAATAATGTGTTTTTTGAACATTAAAGCATGTCAACATATTCTGTTACACCAAATACACAAAATAATGATCTTTACAAAAGCATCATATGACCGCTTTAAAACTCGAAATTCAAAGCATTCTAAATTGTAAATGGCAAAAATGCCTCTGTATGTTTTTATATTTATATAATTAATATAGTTCATCTATATCACACAAAGAGTGCTGTTCTTTTCTCCAGATATCAGCTTGATAACAAATGTAATAATCATTTGTTGCAAGTTTAATAAAGTTAGCATTAAATGACTTACATTTTAGACATAATATTGCCTGTTTTTGCAAAATTTTGCTAACAAAAATAGCTCCATACAAAGATCACAGCACTGTTTTGTCTCTGAGCGATGGATGGTGTACTTATTGAATGAATCACCTTTTTGAAACGAATCGGTTGAATCTCAGTCAAATGCTTTGTTCCTGAATGAATCAGCTGTTTGAATGAATCGGCTGAATCTCAATGACTCACTCATTAACAGTCACTTACTGCCATCTACTGGCCGTTTTAATTTCACATTTCAACTATTTTTTTCATGTTTCAAATCATTTGAAAATATCAGTATTAAACGGTTTATGTATAAAAAAAATTAAATAAAAAACATTATTTATGCATTTGTAATTGCAGGTTAAATTCACCCATTGTCCCCTCTGAGCTACATTAAACTGTGTAAAGTCATCTAAATGCCATTTCAGATGCAGATTCAAAAAATGTTTTCTTATGATGGAATGAAAGAAAGTACTGGATGAAGTGCTTCTTATGCTCACCCGAAGATACAAAATGGAAGAGTTAAAACTAAACACAATCTTGCATCGCAAACTGTGTATAAACATTTTTATGCATTTATTTGCTCCTTTTCCGTTTTGTATTTACTTGTACTTTTACTTTCAATACATAAGTACATTTAATATTTTAAAAATACTTTTCATATTTAAAGGATAAGTCTGCTTCCAGAATGAAAATTTCCTTGTAAGTTACCCACCCCTATGTCATCCAAGATGTTCATGTCTTTCTTTTTTCAGTTGCAAAGAAATTACGTTTTTTTTTTTAGGAAAACGTTCCAGGATTTTTCTCCATACAGTGGAATTTTATGGTGGCCAGTGGATTGAAGGTTAAAAACGCAGTTTCAATGTAGCTTCAAAGGGCTCTACACGATCCCAGCCTAGGAATAAGGGTCTTGTCTAGCAAAACGATCAGTCATTTTCTTAAAATAAATAAATATTTATAATATTTTTGTAAATATTGATGTTGGAAAGGTCAAGTGTAACATAGGCGGAAGTACCGACCCAGTGTTTGCAAAGCCAACATACAAAGAAAGTCTAATGCCCTTTTACCAGAAAGTAAAACAATGATGTCGGACGATTTTAAAGTTGGAGGAGAAAATAAGATGGAGTTTTTAACTTAACTACACAGACAAAGAACTAACCGCGTGTGACCTTTCCAACAGGATTATGTAATGTGTGGAGACGCACATGCGCATCACAGAGCTAGAGCAAGCCAAGCATTTGTGGTTAAAAAATATTATTTTTAAAAAAGGACATAATTTTGCTAGATAGGACACTTATTCCTCAGCTGGGATCGTGTAGAGCCCTTTGAAGCTTCATTGAATCCGCTGGCCACCATTAAAGTCCATTGTACGATGAAAAATCCTGCAATGTTTTCCTCAAAAAAACTTAATTTCTTTGCGACTGAAGAAAGAAAGACATGAATATCTTAGATGACAGGGATGAGTGACTTGTCAGGAAATTTTATTTCTGGAAGTGGACTAATCCTTTAAGTACAAGAAATATCACATACTTTAAGAGTGTTTTCACACCTGTAGATCGATTGCTTTGTTCCGAAACAGGGATTAAAATTATTACAATGTTGCTTTTTATTCTTGGTGCGGTTCGCTTTCACACGGCAAAGTTTCTAAAGGACCAAATTTGTTAATACAAGTCACGCGCGAGTAAACTGTCCTCTCATTGGTCAAAGTTCCACGTTTTATTTTCCGGGATTCCACTTAGCTGTCACAGCTGTCATCTGTCAGGATGGAAGGACAACAGCTTTGCGGGCTTATTGTTGTTGTTTTTTGTAGCTGTCGTTAATAATAATTTATCATTTTGAGCAGGAGTCCAGGATTGATTGGCAAAACATTTTTAAAATGCACCTACTACAAAGAAGAGCAATAAGACCGCATTATAAAACAAAAAAGTGCGCTTTAATTTTTGAATGGCAAAGACGTGCTCACCCACAGGCATTCACTGGTTCATTTTGAGGTATTAGCAAAACAACAAAGCAAATGCTTTTCACGGAACTTAAGTAATTACCCTTCATAAATTGTGATATAGCCTGGTTCGTTGGTCCGTTGGATCGGATTGCTTTCTCACTACAACCGAACCGCTCCAGAGTTCGTTTTCAATCGAGCCGAGACCACCTCGTTCAGGCGATCTCGGACCGATTGTTTTGGCGCGGATCTGAGCGCGATTGCCGTGTTCACATATGCCCAAACGAACCGAGCTAAGGGGGGAAACGCACCAGGTTCCGAAACAACAGGCCATGTGTGAAAACACCCTAAGACTTTAACTCAGGTAAAATTCTAAACAGTGACTTCAACTTCTACCAAAGTCCTTTTCTGGTAAGATAAGTGTGGGTTTCAGGTACTTTATCCACCACCGTATGTTTGGCATCCAGAGTTTTTTGTTTTTGTTTGATTTTAATTAGTTGATTCATCATATTATTGATCTTCCTGTAGTTTTGTTTCTGATGTGGTCGAGATCTACTATGACAGCGATGAGGCGGTTCTGAAAGATGTGGAGATTCAAGAATTTGTTAAGGACGTATCCCTCTTTGGCATTGAAGATAAGACTGATAGTGAGTACAGGTTCAACTTGAGCAGAATGTCAGTGTACGTTTGTATGTGCAAGCATGTGTGATTGTTTATATTCTTGTATATTCTATATGCATGGTCATGTGTATCAAATCAACTGTAAATGTACACAAGATAAATGCATATTGCCACTGTTTACAGAGTTCCCAAAGTCTCTGAATAGTCGAGTGGAGCTAGCCGAGTACCTGACTGCTGTGATATTCACAGGTTCAGCACAGCATGCTGCTGTCAACTTTGGACAGGTGAGATAACACACTTGCAGATTATTGGCAAGAGTATTAAAAAGTGCTAGGCAAAATTCTGGATGATATCTATAAGCTAACATCTGTAAGAAAACTTTTGCATTCCAGCTTGACTGGTATGGCTGGATCCCCAACAGTCCTTCCACCATGCGCAAGCCGCCTCCTCAAGAGAAGGGCATAGTGGATCTGGACGTCATCATGAAAACTTTGCCTGACCGTGATTGTTCCAGTTTGGTTCTAGGAACAGTTTGGAGCCTCAGTCAGTTCCAGAAAAATGAGGTTTGACATCTGATTTGGATATACTTTCCTTTTAAAATTTTAGAGGACATGGTAGAAGCCTCGTCCAAATCGATGTGAAAAATAATGAATCTTTTACTAGCTGAGGGTAAAAAGCATCAAGGTATGAGTTAAAAGACAAAAGGCCAAAGATTGTTGTTTACTAACAAAGTTCTGGTAGATCACATTCAGATAATCAATTCAATTAGTATGTGAGGATTGTCACGACCAGCTCAAAGCTGTAACAAATGAAAGGAGGACATGCGGTTGGTAAGGTTGCAACAAATTATTTATTAACAAAAGAACGGAAAAATAACTGCCATTTCTGTTTGACACAGATGTTATGGAGTTAGACAGAACAAGTCTCACAACTCATAACAAAATCCAAATAAACATTCCAAAACCAAAAACAAACAAAGCAATCGGGAGCAAACCAGGCACCCCACACCAACAAAGCAAAGACTTTTATAGCAGAAAGAACAGGTGGACATCGTTCTCTTGATGAGTCTCCTAGACACACCCACTGGCCGGCCATAGCAGGAAGAGCAGGAGACTCATCACAGGATAATATATATATATACACTGAACAAAATTATAAACGCAACACTTTTGTTTTTGCCCCCATTTTTCATGAGCTGAACTCAAAGATCTAAGACTTTTTCTATGTACACAAAAGGCCTATTTCTCTCAAATATTGTTCACAAATCTGTCTAAATCTGTGTTAGTGAGCACTTCTCCTTTGCCGAGATAATCCATCCACCTCACATATGTGGCATATCAAGATGCTGATTAGACAGCATGATTATTGCACAGGTGTGCCTTAGGCTGGCCACAATAAAAGGCCACTCTAAAATGTGCAGTTTTATCACACAGCACAATGCCATAGATGTCGCAAGTTTTGAGGGAGCGTGCAATTGGCATGCTGACTGCAGGAATTGAATGTTAATTTCTCTACCATAAGCCGTCTCCAAAGGCGTTTCAGAGAATTTGGCAGTACATCCAACCGGCCTCACAACCGCAAGCAAGCCTATAGGCTATTTTAGTTCTCCTCACTCCGCAAAAAATCTTTTAAATTTAACTGTATTCAGAACAAAACAAGAATGAAAAATATAAGTTGCTAAACAAGCCAAAACGAATTAATTGAAAGCAAAACTGAAAGCAAACGCCTTTGTTCTCACGCAGCCTACCTCTATCATTCTGCACGAATCCAAATGTTTCCATATTCGCGATGTATTTGAATGCTAAATTATTAACCTTTTTAGTATGTAAACCATGCTTTTGTAGGCTACTTAATGCACTTTCCGAAAAAACAAAAAAAACAAATCACACTCATTAACAAATACGTGCTTGGCCCGAGCTTAGGCTGAACGACACGGATTGTACAGACGATTTTAATTAACCAGTGTATCTATATTTGATTGACTATTTTATTCTGACAATGAACGGCTGCAATGTTTGCAATGCTATATGTGTGTGCGTGAGGCGACGGCGCGATCGAACAGTGGAAACATAAAATAATCCGTAATTTTTGGTCATACAGATCCTTTGAAATTGCAATGCGTTTACTTTTATTTTAGGATGCGCTTGTCATCTCGGTTTCCTTTCCGTGAACTTTTGCAGAGCGCAGCACCACAAAAATGAACCAAACTCAGCAGCATATTTTATATTAGGCCTAATGTAAAAAAAAAAAAAAATCTTTTTTCTTATCTGTTAATTATTTGAGTCAAATATATTTCGTGTATTAATTCCTTTTATATGTAGACTATGATTTAATAAAAACAAATTGTTACTTTTAGTTAAACTTAATTTCTGTTGCTTGTCTCTTTCTCTTCTCCGACCCCCGCAGTATGCCCATCTCACAAATGTAGAATCCGTCTCAGTCATCTCAACCATCGAATTACAGCAACAGGAAATAGACAAAGTATTTTACCCGCGGAATTTATTGTTTGGTGCTGTTTTGCGGTGTTAGTAAATTCACCACTTAATTTTGAGTTAAAATATGTTGTAACGTGCGTTACTGAGATTGTAACGAGTAATAATATTACCCAAATGTTATTAGTAATGCGTTATATTACTGCGTTACAGCAAAAAAGTAATATACTACTGTAATATCGTTACTTTTGTAATGCGTTATTCCCAACACTGTATATATATATATATATATATAGTTTCCAGCATCCCTCCACCACTCCTGTCTATTCCTATCTGCTTGTTAAGTGGTGATATAAGGAACACCGTTCTTTCAACTTCATCTCAGCTACTTGTCGTTTCTGGAAGATGCGCTGAGAGAAATAACCCAGGATTTACCTCAGAAGAAAAACGTAAAGAGCACCATGTGCTTGTTTCGAATAAGAATACTATTATAACAGACATCCATGAGTGTCATTTTCTTCATATTGGACATTTAAGGTAAGCTTTCATAAACTTACTTGTGTGCACTATAATCTCAGAGCTCACAGCATCCCAGCCACCAATATTTTAAAGATTTAAAAAAGATGAATTATTGTCTGGCCATCTGAGATCTCCTTATGGTGACAGGTTAGGATTATGATTTTTCTATGGTTTTACAGCGCACAGTGAATGTACATTGGTCCCTTTTGTTGTTTGCTATTTGCATCTGAAAGAGTGCTTGGACCCAGAAATTGGCGATGTGTGAAGTCAGGCTCAACAAGCAGATCCCATTTTGGGATTTGGCGGGAGTTCTCTGGGTTAGGGCTGAATTCCAAGCTCGGAGCCCTCCCCTCGAACGACATGCCAAATGCAATCTACAACAAATTCATGAGTTCGCACTTACATATGATCCTGCTTAAAAAAAGAGAACGCTTACTTGCTACAGTCTATGGGCCAGATTTACTATCAGCCTGCGTTAGCGCAAACCCCGTTTGTGGCATAAAAAACTTCTGCCAGTATTTACTAAAGACGCACAGTGAAAAGTTAGCACTGAAAAGGCATGGACATGGTTATTTTTGTGGCTGACCATATTGCATATACATTTGTGGGAGTTTCCCTGTTAGACACAATTTATGGAAGGACAGTATTTAAAGGATTCACATAACATTATTTACTAAGATTTGTGCTCACTTTACCTTTATTAAAAGGTTAAGGTTATTTACCTTTAGCTATATTAAAAATAATGACAAATGTTGTTCTTTTTTCTTAAGAATTTACTTTTTTCCCCCAGCGGTTCTTAGGCATGTATCCAGATATGTACTTCACGGAGCAACCAGTGAAGGAAGCCATCAAGACTTTCTGCAAGAAACTAGATGATCTGACCGACCAAATCAAGAGCCGGAATAAAACAATAACAATGGATTATTGTTATTTGTCCCCAGATCAAATCCCCAACAGTGTTACAATTTAAGAACATATTTCTAGAAACATGTTGCCAGGCAGCATTTACAGCCAATGGATGTTTGACCTAGAGAAGAACAGCTGTATTTAAAAGGCACAAAAAAATTCAGAAATTGTTTGATTTATGACTCTTGATATATATATATATATATATAGTTTCCAGCATCCCTCCACCACTCCTGTCTATTCCTATCTGCTTGTTAAGTGGTGATATAAGGAACACCGTTCTTTCAACTTCATCTCAGCTACTTGTCGTTTCTGGAAGATGCGCTGAGAGAAATAACCCAGGATTTACCTCAGAAGAAAAACGTAAAGAGCACCATGTGCTTGTTTCGAATAAGAATACTATTATAACAGACATCCATGAGTGTCATTTTCTTCATATTGGACATTCTGTATTTAAAAGGCACAAAAAAATTCAGAAATTGTTTGATTTATGACTCTTGTTGCTGGAAAGTAAGGTATATTATCTGAGGGCTGACTGTTGGTCCGGCTCATGCCAAGAAAGTAGAACCATATATCTGGTGTCGCTTTCAAAGAGCACATATAATCTGGTGTTACATTCCATTTATTATTGCCTTTATTTTCTTTATTCATATAAACTTGCATAATCATATATCCATACTATGGTATTCACAGTGCGATTACATGCATGTTCTTAAGCCAATTATTCTTAATAAGCCAACAATTACCTCAGAAGAAAAACGTAAAGAGCACCATGTGCTTGTTTCGAATAAGAATACTATTATAACAGACATCCATGAGTGTCATTTTCTTCATATTGGACATTTAAGGTAAGCTTTCATAAACTTACTTGTGTGCACTATAATCTCAGAGCTCACAGCATCCCAGCCACCAATATTTTAAAGATTTAAAAAAGATGAATTATTGTCTGGCCATCTGAGATCTCCTTATGGTGACAGGTTAGGATTATGATTTTTCTATGGTTTTACAGCACACAGTGAATGTACATTGGTCCCTTTTGTTGTTTGCTATTTGCATCTGAAAGAGTGCTTGGACCCAGAAATTGGCGATGTGTGAAGTCAGGCTCAACAAGCAGATCCCATTTTGGGATTTGGCGGGAGTTCTCTGGGTTAGGGCTGAATTCCAAGCTCGGAGCCCTCCCCTCGAACGACATGCCAAATGCAATCTACAACAAATTCATGAGTTCGCACTTACATATGATCCTGCTTAAAAAAAGAGAACGCTTACTTGCTACAGTCTATGGGCCAGATTTACTATCAGCCTGCGTTAGCGCAAACCCCGTTTGTGGCATAAAAAACTTCTGCCAGTATTTACTAAAGACGCACAGTGAAAAGTTAGCACTGAAAAGGCATGGACATGGTTATTTTTGTGGCTGACCATATTGCATATACATTTGTGGGAGTTTCCCTGTTAGACACAATTTATGGAAGGACAGTATTTAAAGGATTCACATAACATTATTTACTAAGATTTGTGCTCACTTTACCTTTATTAAAAGGTTAAGGTTATTTACCTTTAGCTATATTAAAAATAATGACAAATGTTGTTCTTTTTTCTTAAGAATTTACTTTTTTCCCCCAGCGGTTCTTAGGCATGTATCCAGATATGTACTTCACGGAGCAACCAGTGAAGGAAGCCATCAAGACTTTCTGCAAGAAACTAGATGATCTGACCGACCAAATCAAGAGCCGGAATAAAACAATAACAATGGATTATTGTTATTTGTCCCCAGATCAAATCCCCAACAGTGTTACAATTTAAGAACATATTTCTAGAAACATGTTGCCAGGCAGCATTTACAGCCAATGGATGTTTGACCTAGAGAAGAACAGCTGTATTTAAAAGGCACAAAAAAATTCAGAAATTGTTTGATTTATGACTCTTGTTGCTGGAAAGTAAGGTATATTATCTGAGGGCTGACTGTTGGTCCGGCTCATGCCAAGAAAGTAGAACCATATATCTGGTGTCGCTTTCAAAGAGCACATATAATCTGGTGTTACATTCCATTTATTATTGCCTTTATTTTCTTTATTCATATAAACTTGCATAATCATATATCCATACTATGGTATTCACAGTGCGATTACATGCATGTTCTTAAGCCAATTATTCTTAATAAGCCAACAACTTGATTTGCGTTGTCGGGTTACTGATTTGGATGTAAACAGGGAAAACGGGTTATTTCAATAAGCAGATTTTAGTGAGTAATCAGTGTACTGGTGTGCATGTTAATGTGCTCATCTTTTGATTCATTTACATAGTCTTAATTATAATATGTATGGTGACAGGTTAGGATTATGATTTTTCTATGGTTTTACAGCGCACAGTGAATGTACATTGGTCCCTTTTGTTGTTTGCTATTTGCATCTGAAAGAGTGCTTGGACCCAGAAATTGGCGATGTGTGAAGTCAGGCTCAACAAGCAGATCCCATTTTGGGATTTGGCGGGAGTTCTCTGGGTTAGGGCTGAATTCCAAGCTCGGAGCCCTCCCCTCGAACGACATGCCAAATGCAATCTACAACAAATTCATGAGTTCGCACTTACATATGATCCTGCTTAAAAAAAGAGAACGCTTACTTGCTACAGTCTATGGGCCAGATTTACTATCAGCCTGCGTTAGCGCAAACCCCGTTTGTGGCATAAAAAACTTCTGCCAGTATTTACTAAAGACGCACAGTGAAAAGTTAGCACTGAAAAGGCATGGACATGGTTATTTTTGTGGCTGACCATATTGCATATACATTTGTGGGAGTTTCCCTGTTAGACACAATTTATGGAAGGACAGTATTTAAAGGATTCACATAACATTATTTACTAAGATTTGTGCTCACTTTACCTTTATTAAAAGGTTAAGGTTATTTACCTTTAGCTATATTAAAAATAATGACAAATGTTGTTCTTTTTTCTTAAGAATTTACTTTTTTCCCCCAGCGGTTCTTAGGCATGTATCCAGATATGTACTTCACGGAGCAACCAGTGAAGGAAGCCATCAAGACTTTCTGCAAGAAACTAGATGATCTGACCGACCAAATCAAGAGCCGGAATAAAACAATAACAATGGATTATTGTTATTTGTCCCCAGATCAAATCCCCAACAGTGTTACAATTTAAGAACATATTTCTAGAAACATGTTGCCAGGCAGCATTTACAGCCAATGGATGTTTGACCTAGAGAAGAACAGCTGTATTTAAAAGGCACAAAAAAATTCAGAAATTGTTTGATTTATGACTCTTGTTGCTGGAAAGTAAGGTATATTATCTGAGGGCTGACTGTTGGTCCGGCTCATGCCAAGAAAGTAGAACCATATATCTGGTGTCGCTTTCAAAGAGCACATATAATCTGGTGTTACATTCCATTTATTATTGCCTTTATTTTCTTTATTCATATAAACTTGCATAATCATATATCCATACTATGGTATTCACAGTGCGATTACATGCATGTTCTTAAGCCAATTATTCTTAATAAGCCAACAACTTGATTTGCGTTGTCGGGTTACTGATTTGGATGTAAACAGGGAAAACGGGTTATTTCAATAAGCAGATTTTAGTGAGTAATCAGTGTACTGGTGTGCATGTTAATGTGCTCATCTTTTGATTCATTTACATAGTCTTAATTATAATATGTTGTTTATGGTCTGTTTTAGGGTATCATTTTATTTTTATTTAAATTTTTAACCTCCAGTTATATTGATATTTTACATCTGTATTGGTTTTGATTAACATACCTTAAGACTTAAAATAATAATTCAAAGGTTTAAAGGTAAAAAGATACTTTAATAGAAACATTGAATATATTAAGACACATTAACATTAACACACTTATATGCGTCTTATGTATATGTGTTTTAACCTAAGAATTTCATACAAAAGTAAAAGTTTTACAAAAATACCTTAACTGGTAGACTTTGATGCTAGCAACACCAATGTCATGGGTTCCATTCTCTAGTAACACATATTCTTAATGCATTAAAGGTTATATTCACCCCAAAATTAACATTGTCATCATTTACTCACCTTCATGTTGTTGTAAACCTGTAAGAATTTATTTATTCTATTGAACACAAAAGAAGATATTTTGATGAATGATGGTAACCAGTGGTGTAGTGCAAAGTATACACCGTACCCACTTCATTGTCAGTCGGCATTGCATATGGTTAAATGGGTAAAAAAGTCTAGAAGCCAGAAAATTCATATAGTCACTGATGCAAGTGTAGCCAGGTAGTTGTGTGTAGTCTGAAAGATAAAAATATATATATAAAAAATAACAGTGAAAGTAAAACAAAAATCATTGGCTTATGAATACCCAACACAGATTCTGACATCAATTTTATGAAGCAATGTGAGTGCTTTCTTTGTGCACAAAATGTAACTTGCCACTTTATTTACAAAATAATAGCATCCCCACAATCAACACAACAGTTCATGCAACAATCATACCTTTGTGAACGCGCATCACAGGTCATTATATTCCTTAATAAAATGGTAAACAATGTTTAATTTTGGGCAAACAAAGTACTCGTCACGTCATAAAATTGGGGTTAACCACTCAGCCCTCTACGGACACCTTGGCAATTGAATCGCCATTGGCTAGTAAATTTTTTTGTTTATTCGCCAGAATGAGATATATGTGTGTGTGTGTAAAATGGCAGTTTTATAAATATCTGAAAGTACACTTAACATCAGTCAGTTAAGCATTGAAATATGATAGTCAATATTATTTAATGATAGAAGTTTAGTAATTAGAATTAAAACTTGATAACCATGTATAAATGCATATTAGTCATTTTAACTGAACTTCGGACTGGTGCTGGTGCTTTTTTGGTCATTCAGTAAAAAAAAAAAAAAAAAAAGGAACAAACTAACAAAAATACTGATAAGATGATACGAATTCTAATAAGAACAATATAAAACGCACTAAGGATTAATGAGCTGCTGGATGAATGAGTATCAGGTTGTGTGCATTCGCTCAAACTGATTTGCTGAAATCAAAACAGGGACGATAATAGGTGAGCGCCAGCCAAT